ACTTACCGCAGGTAGCGCAAAGAACGATATGCCCAATAGGGCACAACAAGAGGCAATCAATTTGCCCTGCCAGGTGATGGGCACCATATCGCCATAGCCGACGGTGCACAACGTTATCTAGGTCAAAGTTGAATAATTCAAATACAGTTGCAGTTTCTCGCTTTCGGTTACATACCACGCCCCACCACAGCGCCTGGGCGAAATTGCTAAACTTTTCATTGACGTCCTTCTCCCACATATAAACTAGGAATGATGCAAAAATAAGACCTAAAAATCCAATATACATGGTTGTGATGAGCTCCTGCAAAAAGCATTAAAGCAGAGCAGAAAGAAGAACCATATTTAAAATAAAAACTGCCTTTAACATGCATGTTAAATATAGCGCCCACCTGTCTATGTGCGTATACAACCGAACCGAGCAGCTTCCAGGTGCCGCCGCGTCGATCCATGCGCACCATGCGCAGTATCTGAAAGAATCGTAGACCACGCAAGGCGCTCGTCGCAAACACCTGGCCAGAGGTGCCCATGCCTAATACTACAATTGAGGCTAAAATGGTGATAATATCTAGAGCAGACAAGCAATACCATTTAAGAATATTTATGCCAATGTGTGCATTCATTATGGCTCACCTATAATACAAAATGGTTGCTTTATAAACTTAAGGCGTCCCAGCGTGCCCTGATAGCGCGATCGGCAGCCTGACGACCAAAGCCGCGCTCCAAATTCCATGGTAAACCAGATGACAACTATGATCTCCATGCGAAATAATATATATACAGCATCCTCCTCATATTCCTTGATGGTGGAAAACACGCTCAATGCGAGACATGTGAACACCATCAGAAATCTATAAAGGGACAAAAAAAAAAAAAAAATATTATAGAAACTAAAAATATAGATTTTTAATAGGTAAAAGTCTAAACAGGGAAACCTGGGAAATATTAGTTATATAGACTTTGCTGAAGTCTAAAACGAAAAAGTACTAGAAGTTATTTTTTTTTTAGAAATATTATTTTTAGATGTGATTTGATTTCATAAACTAAAATAGGTTAATAATATTTTTAATTTATTTTTATTTATTTATTTATTTTTATTTATTTATTTATTTTTATTTAATTATTTATTTATGTTTCATATTATACCATTTTTATTTTATTCTTTTTTTTTTTACTTTTAGTGTGTTTTTTTTTAATTTTTTATTTAATTTTTATAAATACATTTTATTTTTTAATTTTTTTAGGTTTAATATTATACTTTATTTATTATGTACATTTTTATATAAATTTTTTTATTTTGGTATTTTTAGTGTTTTTTTTTTTAATAATTTATTATGTATTTAACTTTTATATATATATATATATTTAAAAAAAAAATTTTTTTTTATAATAATTTTTAACTATAATTTGCAACTATGGAATAATTTCGAATTCAAATTAAATGAATTATAAAATCGAATTAAAAGTTTAATTTCGATTTCAAAGATGAAAATCATTTTCATATGCAACTAAATGATCGTCGATGAACTCATGAGCGTGGAACACATTGTTTTTTTATTGGTTCAATTTGGTAAATGATTCGTTTGTCTACTTACACCATCACATGATAGAATATGGCATGCAGGCCGCGCGGTCTCTCCAGAAAATTGTAGAGGCGACTTTGCATCCGCCGGTAGCGCGCATCGCGGCGATGTGTGCCGCGATTGTAGTTCAGCGGCTTCCCTAGGAGTGACATTCGCGGTTGCAGAAATTTTTGCGATTTATTTGGTCCCGCCGGTCTACATTTCCTACAAAAATAAAAATCAAAACACAATTCATATAGAGATGCTATGTGGTTTTGTAAGGCAATTGAGATTTAGTTGAGTTGAATTGCTTATCGCACCCCTTGAAGCCTCTTATATCATAGAAGGCATAAACATCGTTCTCTGGATCCATTTTAAGTGCATTTCCCCCGCCCCAAAGCACACACACTCTAACACTTTACTAAACGTAACACAAATAGAGCTCGGAAATTGGGTATACGGACGTGTGTCGCGTTTGCCGTACAAATCACAACTCGATCGTTTGCTGAGCGCTACGAGCGTTTAAAACCTTCCCTGGCTATAGACTTTCCAAAAACCTCCATGTGTAAATTTTATTAATTATCTACATAAACTGTATTTCGCTATTTTTTTTTTCTACACACCTTGCATTTTTATGATCGTTTATTTGATTTGATTTTATATCGTATTTTATTTTATTTTGTTACACCTGCGACTTCGTCTATGTGTGTTTTTTTTTTTTTTTTTGCCAATACTTTTTCGCACATTTTATTTCATTTTGGAGCTTGTCGTTTTGTGGGCGTTTGCAGCTCCTTCGTATAGTCACGATCTCTAGAGTTTTTTTTTTTTCGATATTTCGTGTCGTATGCTTGATATACGTCATTAGCCATAAATGTCGACGCCTCATTTCTATATAATTTTTATTTTTTGGCAGATAGTTAATGCAAATATAGGTGGGCTGCCATTGATTGAAGGTGGGCGTGTGAGCTCGCATTTATGGCTGGAACAAATTTTGATGGCCCATTACAATTACAACTCTGTATGATAATAGATCTATTGCTGCATTATAGACCCATTGATACACGTACTATATTTGCTAATAAATTCTAATATATTCTAAAGCTGACTCGGAGCCTGAGGCAGAGACTGCATGCTGCATTGACCCAGTTTCTGGAGAACTTGTTTGCATTAGCTTCTGTTGCATGTGGGCCGACAGCCTACAGGCAGTTCAGGCATCTAGCTGTATTCATTGCCGGCACACACACACAGAAAGGCAATAGGAAAAATTTGTGAAAAAATTCCCATGGCAGAGGCAGCTCTCAAAATGCCATAAACTTTGATTGATTAAAACATATTTCTTATTGAATACCTTTGGCATATGCCAAATATTTTATTTGCCAAAAATGTTGTTGTTTCTTGTTTTTATAGCAACATCAGCTTTAAAATATTTATGAGCATTTTTTGTTGTTGTGTTTATTGCAACAAAAAACAATCGAAATCAAATTTCCATCATCAATGGAAATATTCGCCATTGAATTCTTTATTTAAAATTTGTTAAAATTCCATTATTCTTGAATGCTGAAAACATTTTATGTAGTATTTATTTTTTATTCTTATAAGTCTAAATTGTGTTCTCTAATAGTTTGCATGAAAGTCTATAGGTGCATTGGTATTTGTGCGGAAAGCTTTAGGCAATTCATTTAGCATGCACGCAAAGCTTTTAGCTTGTTTAGCTAAGGCTCTATTAAATTGTTAAAAAAAATTCAAGAGATACAGAGGGAATAAATACTTAGAGAAATCTACAAATTTGTAAAAGATATTACTTATTATCAGCAAATTTACACAAGAGTCTTGTTTAAAATTTATTTTTTATAATATAAAAAATAAATAAAATATTTTACAAATAATAACTAAAAAATTTACAGAATATATACGGTTTTGTAATAATATCCAAATATTTTACTTTACTAAATCATTTAAAAATAAATTATTAAAAAAAAAATTATAATAATAATTAAAAATATTAAGGCTTATTATTTTTTAATTTTTATTTATATTTTCATGTCGTTTTCTGGACTTTTTCATATTTTTCACAGACTCTTGAACTACAATCCAAATGTCTTACATGTAATTTTTTCTGTAATCTTTTATAGTGCATACAAATGAATCGTATTTCTATGAGCTAATGCAATTCTAAATTGCTGAAGCTCTAGAACTTTTGTGGCTTTTAACCATATAAATTAATCCATTAAAATCATTTTGATTGCATTCGCATAAAAATTTGAATCTGTGTGCCAAATATTTGCGGTTCTCCTTTTAAGATCGCAGTCTAGAAGATCATAAATTCATATCGTGTGTAAACAGAATCACATGTTCTGTTTGTTCAGTTAAAAAAAAAAAAAGTGCCAATTAAAATAAACTATGCACGAATAACCCCAATCATAAATTCTGATTCATATTGCGATGTTAATTGTGCGTGGGAGACGCAAAACAAGTTTCAACTTTAAACAGCTCGCACTTTTATTATAATCCAATAATATCATATAATTTATAAGTATATAGTATAAAATGCTTATTGAGCATGACGGAAGCTTTGGCTTAGATATTGGCAATACATCAACAGATCGAGTTGTCGCTTGCCATAATTGAAAGCTTTTAGAAAAACGAAGCGGATCCCAACACACGATGCGCGTGCAATACCAGAGAGTCACGATGTTTTTATTTCATTTTCCTACACCTGGAGAGGGTATTCTGATTGTATCATGAGTAATGTAACGCAAGAGAGTTGCGTGCTTGGCATAGCTAATAATCTATGAATTACAGTCAGCGTACGTAACTTCTATATAACCATATATAAACATTACTACATTTCTGTGTGTAGCTTATGTATATCGGTCAAGTCGCCATATCGTATCAGATTACCGTCATTGAAACTGTAGGCCAACAATAGAAGTTCTTTCACTCTTTGAATATTTCATAAGAAAAGTTTTTTTGAACATAAAATTAACTTTGGGCTATGATATCATATAGCACAGAACAGGGAACATTTTCCTACTTTTTCTCGCTCGCTCTCTTGTATTTTTAGGCATATTTAATTACGACAATATACACATATGATAAGATAAGAACTTGCATACAAACGCATTCACTTTGCCAAAAGAAAGCTCTAGTAACAAAAATCACATCCAAGTCTCATCTTTTAAAGGGTATTCAAACTTCATTATTCCTCAGACTTCACTTCTTTCACATTTTTTTCTCCCAACGAGTGTTCGTGACATAGACAATAGATGTAGCGCATTTGTATTTCCTAGCACTCCTAACTGTATCTTATCGCAACGACAACTCCCAGTGCATCGATAACAATGAATCCATTAAAAACGAGAGAAAGAAAAAACTCTGAGTCATATTTCAGCAAAAATTGTTTTAAATTTTAATATAATGCTTGTTTGTTATACTTAAGTATTTTGTTTTTAGTCTGTAGCTGGCTTAGGTTAGGATGTTAATTAAAATATATCTTTATATATGGACAAGTGTGTGCGTGGGTGTGTATTACTTGTATGTCTCTGTGTATTTTGGCCATTGAAATATATATATACAGTAAATCGGTTTTGTCGGAAGGCGGTAAATAATTGTAAAAATATTTATAATATATGTACGATAGATTTAAGTTGTTCATAACATATATATATGTCTGTATTTGTATATATATAGATAGATAGATATTTATATGTATGTATGCATGTTGGTTGGGTTTTTGTATCCGTCAGTAAGAAGCTTGATACAAGATCACAAATTGTTGTTGCTCTTAGCACCGCTCGTTCACAAAGCTATATGTGTAGCAACATTTCCAGGAATTATCATCATTCCAATAGTCCATCCATCCTGCTGCCTTCCGGATTTACTTCTTAGCATCGATTATAATCTCATCGCCCGACTGTATATTATAGCTGTAGAGCTGTTTATTGGGATACCGCATTTCCTCTGGGCCGAACTCCTTGTAGTCCTGGTCGAGATAGTAGAGACGCATCTTGTTCGGCGCCAGTCCGATGAGCTTCTCCAGTTTGACCTTCAGGTCGTTGACCGTCAGATAGATGTCCACGAAGCGACTTTCGCTCACATCGTTGTACGTGAAGACGACCTTCACCCGCTTCTCTGGCTTCAGATTCACATTGACCAACGGATCCAATTGGCCGTGCACCGCGAGTAGTTCGGCATAGCGTGCGGGGCGCTCCGCTTCCGGCTTGTCCATGTAGTGACGCACAAACGCACGTTCCGCATCGACGCGCTCGTCCACGCTGATCTTGCCGCCGCCATTGAGCATGGACACATTTGGCAGCCGTGCAATCAGCAGCTGGCGACGTTCGTGCTCCGTGCACTCCAGCGTCTCCCAGAGGGGCCAATGCTTGACGCGCAGATTCTGCAGCTGTTCGTATTTGGCCAGCTCATCGATGTCCGCCCAGCTATTGAGCTGAGCACAGCTCAGATTGAGCAGCTTGAGGCAGGGGAAGTATTTGTGGCACTCGCTGGCAGTGGCCGAATCCAATTCGGCTGTGTTTGTCGCCTGCAGGGATTTGATAGGGCATTCTGCCAGGACCAGGGCCTCCAAGCGGGGAAACAATCGACCGAGCCGACAGATCTCTTCCCAGTGCTCGATGGGATTGCCGGTGAAGTGCAGGGTCTGCAGAGCGCCATGTGCCTGGGTTAGCTTGCGACGACCCTGGCACAGATTGCAGCACGTCTCTGTTTCCGTATCGGCTTCCGCTTTTGCTTCTGCTTCGCTCGCCGTTTCTGTCTGTGGCACACACTGGCAGCTGCCCTCGTCCGCCGCATCGAGCAGCACGCTGGTGTAGTTGTTGAGGCTCAAGTGCAGCTCCTGCAGCACCGGCAAGTTCTGCAGCAGTGCATCCACACACATCCAGTCCAGGTAGGTGCCATTGAGCACCAAATTCTTCAGATTGATCGTTGGCGCCGCCTGCAGCGCACTGGGCACATTCATCAGCTGATTCTTACTCAGGTTGAGAAACTCAATGCGCGGCATATGCTTCAGTATGTTGAAGACCTCATGCCAGTCCTGTAGCTTGTTCTGCGCCAGATCCAGCTCACGCACACGCTGGCATTTCTCCCGAATACTGTCGAAATCACCGGCGCAGTCGATGTCGCAGTCATTGAGCACCAGCAGAGCGGGCACACTGGTTAGGGGCGAGAGGCGGGGTATGAATATGGAGAACTCCATGCGGCCGCCACATTTGGTAACTGTAAAATCATTGGGCAGATCGGAGCGCTTGTGCAGCTCGGGTTGATTGGCGTTCTCAAATTCGCATTCGGCGAAATATTTGCGCTCAAGCGCCTCGAGTAATGAGGGCATCTTGCACGCTCTCTTTGTCTGTGTCTATCTCCCTCACACTCTCACACAGTCAGTGTAGCACTCTTAAATGCTGTCGCAGCGGCCAATGAATTATGTAAATTTAACTTTTCACTTTTTGTTTTGCTTTTGTTTTTGTTTTTGTTCAGCTTTGCGTTGCTGTTGCGTGCTGGCTGCGTTTAACTGCACTTTGAAGCTTTGCCTTAAGTGGTAAAGCTTTTACGGTTCTTGTTCAGCCAGTTGTGCTGTGCTTGTTCTTCCTCTTCTTCTTGCTGCTGCTGTCGCAGCCTCTGTCTCTGCCTGCTCCTTCGCTGCTTGCCTTTTGTTGCTTATTGATTTTTGGGAGAACTTAGGTTGCGTTTTACATTGAATTTCGTTATTATATATAGTATATATTATTTTTTGATGTCGTAATGCAACGTTTTGTGCTTTATGTTGTTGTTTTGTTTTTTGCGCAGCGTTTATTTTTTTTTCCTATTGCAATTGTCGATTTAAACAATTTGCTGCGCACGTTTGTATTTGCCTTCGTTGTTGTTGTTGTCGTTGTTGTTGTAATTGCGCACTAATTTAACAAAATTTGTTGTTGTCGAAACAAAGAAAACCACAACAAATTGTTTTTCTGTGCGTGTGCGTTTGTGTGTGAGTGTGTTTGGAGTGTTAAGCAGGGGCCACTTGCCAGACTACCTGCTGCCCCGCTCTACGTCTCTGTTGTCTATCTCTTTCCAGCTGTCTTTCTGTCTCTGCGCTCGAAATATTCCAGTCAATGGCGTTTTACTACGACAAAAAGCCACCTCTCTGTTTTTGTTACTTTATTTTGTTTTTGTTGTTTGTTGTTGTTATCGTTATTGTTGTTTAGCTTTTCTAATTGTTGCTGTTGTTGCTGCTGCTGCAGTTGCTGTTGCTTTGGCTGTTAGTTTTATTCGAATTTCTGATGGTGTCTCTCTCTCAGTCCGTTCGCAACGCCAGCAAACGCTCAACTAAAAACCACAACACAAGAACGAACTCGCCTCCGTGTGTTGTCTGTATATTCTTCTGGCCCGTTTTGCCAGTTGCTGCTGCTGCTGGTGCTGCTCAGCTCGTCGTGTGCTTTTGTGCTGCTGTTACTGTTGTTGTTGGCGCTGTTTGTTGTTTTTGTTTTTGTGTGTAGGTCGCCGTCATGCGCACAGGGGCGGATTCGCAGGAAGCTTTTTCGCTCAAGTAACGTTTTGGGCGCTTCGAAAATATTTTATGATTTTGTTGTTGTTGTTTTTCGATGCCGAAATTAGACGATGCAATAAGTTCTCATCTGATGTAAGTCTCCTGCTTATGCTATTAACGGTGCTGCCGCCCCTACAGCTCCAATCAGATAAGAACTTATCACAACAATTTTGATGCCACCAAATAGAGTTAAATAGAATATTTATCAATACGCATTTCGCGTGGCCTGTTTTGTTTCAATTTCTTTTTTCTTTTTTTGATTTTTCCAAATTATGTGGTTAGCGCCCAAAACTGGGGCCTCATAAACTAGCCCATGGCGCGGCTGTAAATGTCTGATGACGACGACCTTGCGACGTAAATAAATAGACATACGCTACATTACGAAATTGTATTTAGCTAAAGCAAATACAAATATTGTTGTGGTGCTTTCGGTCTTAAAAAGTTTTTGTGGGGCAAGCAAGAAATAGAATTTGTAGAATTATAGAAATTTTGTTTTCTATAATAAAAACACATTTACAATGACCTTGTGCGTTGTGCACTTGGCAGCGGCCCTAGGTAAACACAAATATCAAAGACTTGGGCGCCCTGTTATATGGCGAATGCGCTACCGTTTCTATTCCGTCTGGAAAACCAGTTATAAAGTCAACGGTCATGGGACAGTGAAAACGCGCTATAACAAACTACCCCGTCACATAAAGATAAGAAAACTCGCGTAGCAAATTTTTATTATGATTGGCAGCATTTAACTGTAATCTAGGGGATGATTGCAAATATGCAAGTATTTTTAAATTTCCATAGCCTTGGCTCGAATATGCTGTTACAGTTGTACAATGCGCCGCTGTTGTCGTAACAACTCAATGGGGTTCACTTTGTTGACAGCTTGAAAGGTGCGCAATAAGCGAGCGAGTTATGTCAGTGAGTGGGGGTGGAGACGGCGAATTGGAACAGTCAGAGAGTGTGTGAGAGAGAGAGAGAGAGAGAGAGAGAGCACAAGAGCGATAGCGGGAGAGAGCAAGCGCCGTGAGCGCGCCAATTTACAAAGCTTATGGCGCACATACACAGCTGTGCTTTGTTGATGTTGTGACCAGCATGCAGAAGTACACACACTCACACACTCACACACTCACACACACACGTACACGCGAGCGCACGAAAACACAAACATATGTTTGTTTGCATTGACGCTGAAACGAAACTGCGCAGCAAGTTGAAAGCTTTCGACGCTCAGCTGATTGTGTTTGCAATGCATGGCAGACGTGTGAGCTTTTCCCTCTTTCTCACTCGCTCACAGAGCTTTGCCACCATGTGCATGCCAGCTACAACAACAGCGAATAACAGATGGGCAGCATTGTGACAACGGGGGAACATAGCACGAGCATGGGCATGACAATTGGGGGGCGTTACAAATTTGATTTGCACAAAGCATAACGTTTGACGCCTGCCTTTTTTTATGACCCGACTCAATTTACTGCTGCGAATATTGAGCATTGTCACAGAATATGCGCGAGCATGCAGAAAAGATACAAATATTTCTACACTTCTGTTTTCCATTTGGTCGAATAGCAGAAAAAAATGCGAGGAAAATGTCTGACAAGGGTTTCAATCAGTTTACATACATGTAGATTTGATTATTGCTGTCACTGGCTTCGAGTGCTCCACAGAATGTGTTAAAGATGAATGCACGAGTAGTACTCTAATGCATCTGTCTGTGTGTGGGTGAGTGTGTTTACTAGTGCCATTTGTTGGATCAATAGATGCAGCAAAAAATAGCAAATAATGCAATTTCAATTGCAACAGATGTCAGCCCATAGATTTTCGTGTTACCATTTGCATTACACATTTTTGACATATTTTTCAGAATGGCAATTTGTAGAGAATTTCGCAACAATAATAAATAAACGTTGTTATTTTTATAGCAGCTACTATAGATAGTTGTCAAGGTTGATTCCAAGATCTCATACACATTCCTATTTATGTATATGTACATATATACAGACATATACATGCATATCTACCTATATTCCTTTCGCATTTTCCACTCTAATTACCATAACATCTAGCCGAGCTTTTGATTCACATTCGAATTACAATTGTTTTCATCCTTGAAGAAGTCAACAATAAGCAATAGTTAGCAACATCATAAAAAAGACCCAAAACAAAGTAAAAATCAAGCTAGTCATGACTCATTTGCACTTAAGCAGAGCTCCAATGGAGTCATAACAAAGTTTTCCGTCTCTGCTTTTTTTTACTCATAATCTAAAAAAAAAATACACAACTCATATTAAAATAGTCCACAAAATTTCGTGAGGCTCATTGTACACATCAATTATGTCTTTATTAATATACGGTGCAACGAACCATATCGTTCGTATGTATCTCAGACATTTGAAGGCGTCACACATATACATACATATACCATGGACAATGCCTATATGTCTAGTCTATAATTATCTGTGGAAAGTCGCCTTATTCGAAAATGCGATTTTGTTATGGTTTGACCGGCATTTGTTTTGAGCGACACAGAGAGAACGACAAATAAGCCATTTGTCAATATTATTTTAGTCATACCAAGAAAATTGTTTTAATTATCTATAATATATCATTATTGTTGGACTATTTATAATCGCGTATAAGTGTGAAAAGATGAAAGATGATTGTTATCTGTTTGTCATTTCGGATTATTGTTAGAGTATAAAGATGTTAATTGAAGGAGAGCATAAAGAGGAGTATATCAGTTGTGTGAAAAGTTGACCTTTATGTATATAGATATTATATGTGTTGAATATACATATATTTTGTTTAATTATGTGTAAGCTTAGGTAAAACATTTTCAGATCTCTTCAAAAAGAATTATGCATGTCGGCTTCAGTTGAATAAAATATACACTTAAATCAGTTTTAAAGCTAAAAATTTTCTGTAGAGCTGTATTTCTATTAGTTTTCTCTAGAAGTCTTATATTGGATATCTATAAAGTATAGACATAGACATAGATATAGATTCAACTATTCCGCTAGTTTGAGCGCGTATTCTGCAGTCAGTTTTACCCGACTCAAATCTATTTACATTTTATATACTACTTTATGAAGTTGAATTGTTGTAATTCGAGATTCTTAAACATTTTTTTTTTGTTTCTGTAATTAGAAAATGTAAAATATATAGACACATGTATATAAAGTGAATTTATTTTGTGAACGCAATTTAATGGCCAATTGCTGTTTACAAAATTGTTCAATGTGTATAAACGTGCATATACTATAGATGTATGTATGTATGTATATAGTATATTTAATCAAAGCAAAAACCCAAATAAAAACCAATACAAAATTTATTCAAATCAATTGCGTCAATAAATTCGCCTAAGCTGCATTTGTTGTTGTTGTTGTATCTTCGTTGTGCTCGTAAAATTCTAGAAATATTTCGTGTTTTACACAAATGGAAATTTTGACTTTTCGTATGCCCGACAGCGCACAATTTTAACGACTTTAATACGTACATAAACAATGGCCGCTATAAGAAAAGCAATTTTCCCGTCTCAAGCAAAAAAGTCTAGACAGTTTTTGTCATCATTTTATCGCATTTTTTCGTTAAATTATTACAAGTTTTTCTCTATATATATATTCTTTTCGATGTGTGTGTGTGTGTTTGTGATAACATGCGTTATACTTGAGCTTGACTGTGGTTGCTGCCTGCTAGTTGTTCGGTTTGGTCTTCTGTTGAACAAGTGGTTAACCTTGCGTATGAGTAATGTTTTCTTTATCTGCTTCATTATGCCCGAGTTTTACCAAACAGTTGTTGATTGTGTAACAAATCAGCAAATAGCAAACGTATCGAATA